AGTCTGGACACAACCCTAGGCAATGCCATTCGCGCTGACCGAAATTTTCTCTGTGGCGATTACGCTTTTCTACTGGTGTGGCCTGGATGTGTGTGGATTGGATGGTGACCATGCAGGGTTTGCTGTGCAGAATCAGCTTGGCGTCCGCAAGCTCAGGATTGCTATGCTTGCCAAACAGATGCTGGCAAAAGATCAGCCTGCATCGATGCCCGGCGTTGGAGCAGACCGGCAAGTGCGTCTCTTGACATGACATCTCATGCAGGACATGTCTCATGGCAATTAGGACGCATCCGCCGCCGCGTCTTCTTCTATGGGAGGTTGGTGCCAACCAGGGAGACTGCAGCACCTTGGCAGATAATTCAAGGCCAGGCAGGAAATTTCGCCATGAGCTGCGACCAGGCAACTTTGCAGTCCACATGCTGACTTCCTGGGGGAGAACCAGTCAGCAACAGCGGCTCGGCAGTGCGGAGCCAGATACATGTTGTGTGACTTTCCAGCACCCTTGGAAATGGCTCAACGTTGTGAAGGAGGATGTAGGCCAAGCCCAGGTACAACCTGATTGAAATGGAAGCAACGCTCTTCGAGCCGGTGCAAACTTCGGCAAGCGCAGCCCGTGCAGCAGCCGAAGTCTCAGCAAGACGCTCGCAATTCCTTGTCGAAGTGGTAAGTGCTTTCAGAGAGGAACCCGTCGCAACATGATGGTATAAAGAGTAGCATAGAGAGCAGCCAAGATAAATCTCTTTTAGCAAATAATGTATCTCCAATCACTCCCTCAACCTCTTCAGGGGGCGGTCCCTGGAATGGGAGGGTGGAAGGGGTGAGTCGTTGAGTCCTTTCAAAACGCTTCAATACATTCCAATTGGTTTCAAACTTTCTTCCCAGCGAGGGAGGCATCTCTGATTAGCATGATTCATGCCCACACCCAGTAACAGTGCGCAAGAAAGATGATATTAAGCGCTACATATGTATGTATGTATACACACAATCAAGTGTATATATATATACAGATATAGATATGTCTAATGTATATAAGTATACATATATAGATTTACATGACTGTTGTATTATGATACTTATGCTGTTATTGAGCGGGGGCCCCAAGAGCAAGCTCCAGCTTTGAGGCCGCTGCGCTGCAAAGGCACTGGCCTTGCTGAATGTTGCAGATGCAATGGAAGATAGTATATAGGAACTTTATACATACATAAATGATATGTGGGGTAATGTATGTATGTATATATATATACATACGGATTTAGGTTTTAGGGCCAGGGTCCCATGGAGGGATGGAGAGCTTTGTTGAACCTTTCCTGGCCTTTGGTTAGCTGGGAATGAAGGAATGGAAAATAAATTAGAAACTAGTATAGTGGGTTATGTAGGACCAGTATAAGGATCCATTCCTTCATTCCTAGCTAACCAAAGGTACGTTTCAGGCGCATTCGTCTAGCTGGTGACCGCCCTCCGCGACTCTCTGTCAAGCAAATCGCCTTGGGCGCGCAGGCTTGAAAGCATCGAAGAGAATGAATAGATACCGTAAACGCTGAATCCAAAACCGTAAGCCCTAAACCCTAAACCCGAAGTCTAGCATGCAGCACAACCACTCATGAGGCAGGAGAGGTGGAGATTAACCTCAAGCGCCGTGCATCGGCAGAAGCATCCTTTCGCGGGTGCAAAGGATTTCCGGGCTACTGCGAAGTGACTCGGCTAATAACAAAAACAGGGTAAAAATAGTAATGATAAGAATCGTGATAATGGTAGCAAGAATAATAATAGTAATAAAGATAGTGAAAAAAGTAGAATAATGTTATTACTAATGGTAATAGTGATAGTCATAGGAGTACTGGTTGTAATGGTACTTTATACTTTTCAACTTCTTCCTGCTCCAGTATCCTTGGCCCAGGTGGAGCGAGCGTGGTGCTTGGTCTCGAAGCATCCTACCTTTTGTTCTTCCTTAGCTGAAGCTGCATTTCGGTGGAGGCCAGCATGAAGACTATCGATAGCTTGTTGATGAACGAGAATGAAGCCGTGGACCTTTTGAAGCTACATGTCCAAGGCTGGCCCAAGATTGCAGCACGAAGCCGAGACTCGTCGAGACACCATTTTTGGCCAGGCTACGAGCTGCAGGTCCTTGAGGGAGCGAGACGCTCTTTGTCTACAGTGCCATGGCTGACTGGGCTTTTTATCTTCTTGACAGCATACAGCATCTTTCGGGGGCAATTTTGTGAGATTACTGCAGATCCCAAGGGCAAAATCTGCTTGGTGTTCCTGCTCACAAGCACACTCCGCATGACTCGCGGGGAAAACCTGGACAAGGATCTGTCGAGATCTGAAGAGTGCAAGCTCCAAAGAGGCGTGTCAAGCGGCCCAGAAGAGTGGCAGATAACTGTTTCAGGATGCAATGACTGCTGTGGTGGAATCCTTGATCCAGATGTTCAGTGACCGACTCAGTTTGATGACATCTCCTTGCGGCCTTCTTGTAGCACAAGACGCAGCAGGCATGTATTGTGTGCATTTGTCTAGCATGGAAGTTTGCCAAAAGGCAACTTCACAACAAGAGCTGTGGAGAATGGTGGGCCAGCCATCTACTCTCTGCTGGAGATGCAAGCTGCTTGGTCGCAATGGGAAACCGCTTTGCTTTGTAGGAAGAAAGTCCTTGCTCTTCAGTCAGAGTCTCAGAGCCTCACTTGCACACAAACCGGGCTGCTTTAAAGGATCGATTGCGTGGGTCAGATGACGAGGCCCTCGAAATCTGTGTGAGCACATCCCTTGTCTCCGTTTGCACAAGACACGCGGGTGTTAGCTTCCTTGCTGTTGCTGTAGCTGACCTTCACGAAAGCATGATACATGCGCGCCAGAACTACAATGTTGTCGCCTGGCATCATGGCGAACATTGCCGTGAAAGTGCTGTGGTTCACGCCGCCGAGCAGCTCTTCGGCCTCTTGCATACCTTTAGACTTTAGATTCGTTTAAGGGGCTCTTTCTGGATGCTATATAATATCAAGACTCTTGAGGCTTATGATAGCATACAGACCCGAAGTTCCCAGGCTCCAAATAGCGAAGAAGCAGATCGAAGCTGGGTGCTTCTGCTTCCTCAGTGGCTTGTCCAAAAAACCCTTGTGCTCGATATTGGTTTGGGGCAGGGTGTTGCAAGTGCAGGAAATGTGGCCCTGCCTTGCAGCCGCATCGTAATCTCAGCTGTTGCGTGTAAAGCAAAATGAAGAGGCACCACTACAAAGCACTGGACCAGCAGCTCAAATGCAACATTCACATATTGCAATACGACTCAGGAACCTCAGAGAAAGGTCTCCACAGCATTCATTTGGTGTATCTCGTTCCAGTTTACACAGCTTTCACGGAGACAGCGATGGCACGAAGCCGCCGATGGGGTGCCGTCTGCGTTGTTTTTCTCTTGCCAGCGCTGGCATGCTTCGTGCACCTGCCAGGCCTGAACTCTCTGCCAGGCTGCCAGCTCCACCTCGAATTGTTTGCAGGAGCTGATTGGAGATCTACACGCCGCCAAGCAGGAGTACTCAGGGTCTGGTGAGCGCGGCCCTTTGCAGACGTCCATGCAGAGCTTACTGCTCAACATGGGGCTCGCGTCCAGGACTTGTGGGCTGCGTCGGCTCGTTGCTTGGTCCAGTTGCACGTGCCGAAGATCGGCCCGTCGTGCAGCGACCTTTTGCCGCTGAGAATCAAATCTTCGTGGTAGTGCACGTTTGATGCATTCCGGCCTGTGAATGCTGAAGGAATGGACCTTTCTTTGGAGAAGTGCAGCTGAAAGTGGTGAGAAGAGGCACATGGACTAGATACCTACAACACAACTTATGCGAAGGCACCCGGCTTGTATGTGCCCATGAGGCGCGGACTGAGTCCAACAGCAATTGCCAATATTCTTCGGAGAGACCTTGGGGACAGTCGCTTGGCGTTGGACTGCCCTGTTGAATGTAGCTCCAGCTCAGCTCAAGTCAATTTGCAATTAAGGTCTAAATGTTACAGCGTGTGCTTGTACCCCTTGCCTGCAAAGATAGACCAAGGTAAGTACATCCTTACTGGCAATCTGACATCAGAGATCTTTGCTGATGACTGCCGCTTTGTTGACCCCAACAATGCTGTAGAGGGCCTGGCAAAGTACCGCCAAGCGTTGGCGCTTCTTTTTGATCCCGCGGAAGCTTGGGTCAGCAAACGTTGTGATGATGTGCCTGCTCGTCACATCAGAGCAGAAACACTTCTGATGTGGATGTGGGAAGGAGAGCTTCCTGGACTTGCGCGATATTAACGTTGTGGAGGGTGGCTCAGCCATACAGGCCAGTTATGTTGCCGGCGGTGTGCTGAAGCTGCCGGAGCCTTATCTTCTTCGAGCTGCCTGGTCACATGCGTATCATGCAGCTGTTTGTACTTGTCGCATTTGTTGCAAGAGGCCGTGGAGGCCACGCATCTCGCCATGGTGCTGGCCCCAGCAAGGCTCAATATGCTTCAGCCAACCTGGACGAGCAAGGGAAAAGCTTTGCTGATTTTGCTACCTGTTTGCCGAGGTCCGGCTCCATTCGCTACAGTTTCACGAGCGACGGTCTAATCGGCTCCCAAGTTGACACATGGAACATTACTCGATTCGACGCAATTCGACAGACTTTCACACTGTGGTCCTGAAAGCAGGGGCTATGCTATGTGCCATCGATTCAAAACAAGACGCGCTGCACAAGAGTCACGATAGAACGTGTGCTTCAGTAAGAGCTGGCCAATCGTTGCAGGACTGTTTCCTGGATCGACGAGCGTGATGAATTCTTAGAGGAAGCACGCTCGGATGAGCAAAGAATTCGGTCCGTTCCAGTCTGGCAAGAGCCACCCGGAGATTAGCGGGGCTGAAGACAGCGCGACATAGAGACGCAGCGATCAGCAAGAAACTGAGACTCGGGCAGGGCTTCACAAGTGCTAGTTGCGTGGCCAGTCAATGCAGCATAGCACACTGAAGGATCTTCAAGGTTCATCAATTCCTGGGAAGCCAGGTGCTGGACGCCTTGCAAAACTTCGCATTTCCAGGCGTCGTACAGCATGCACGCTAAAATTTATGGGCTTCTCTCTCATGCTGTGGCTTTGATTCCAGCTGCAGGTTACGTGGGGACCACAAGAGCGCGGCTACGGCAGGTCAGAAGCAATCCCATCAGGGTGTGAGACATCTGTGAGCTTGTCTGGGGCTCGCGCTTTTTTGAGTCTCAGTTGCTCGCCTTTTGTATGTCAAGCACAGACTCCTTATTGTTGCCATTACCGCAAGCAAAGCATGAAATTACTTGTACTGTTTGCATGATAGCCTGAAGATCCAGCCTCTTGCCCATGTATGACTTCCATATGCTCTCAACGTCCAATGCTAGCCCCTGAACAAACAGCAGTCGCAGCTCCAAGCTGAATCACTAGCGTAACTGACATTGATAGCTCTTTGGGCCGAAGCGCGGCAAGCTGCAGAAGCAGGCCTGTTGCAACAAGCTAACACGGACTGGATTCTCCGGAGTCAGAGCTTGCCTGACTAGGTAGCGGCAGAAGGCCGATGGCCAAATCCTCAGTGGGTGTTGTCGTCACCCCTGCCTGTTGACATACTTCGATCTCTGTGGCTCAGGCTACAAAATTGAAGAGCTTGGACCGACCGATCAGCGGTGAGGATTCCAGATTTTGTGTGGTACTGGGTGCTCAGACGCTGGTCTCAAAGAGAATTTATTGACTGGAGATCTGACGTGGCGAAGTTTGTTTAAGCATTCAGCCTCAGGTGGGGAGATGAAGGCTTCTTGATTGCATGCATGCACAGACGGCCCACATGGAAAGTATAGCGAGGGCTTGCTTATACCCATGGGGGACGTCCTAGAGGCTGCATTGTCTTTTGTTGGCTGGTCCAGTTGTCATGCGTGCATTGCTGGTGTGTGCATCCAGGCAAGGGCAAGCTCGTGGATATCTTGGCACAAGATGTGCAGTTGTGCGCACGGTTCAATGGTGGAGCAAACGCCGGACACACTCTGTGCCTGGGCTGAAGCAAAGCTGATCTCCAACAAACATGTCGTGGTGGGGGGGGTGCTACAGTATGTTAGGGCTAGGGGTAGGAATCAGAGCACGCTCCCTCCCGAAAGGTAGAGCTGTGTTCCCCAGCCAGAGGGTTCTGCGTGCTGCTGAAGGTTTATCCTGAGACAGTCACTTGTAGTTGTCAGCGCCTGCTATTTCACCGAACAAAAACGCTGTCAAATGACAGGTATGTCAGCCAAGACTGCCAATAAGTTCCGTTCAAGCCAAATTTCTCCGCCCAAAGCTCCAGACTGAGGCTCGTGGACGGAAAGAAGCGGCTTGCTGGAAGAGAGCAGAAGATAGTTATCTTTGTGTTGTGAATGGCGATAAGTTCCAGTCTGCCTGTGCCACATCTTAGTCTTAGACACTTTTCAAGCTGACTCAGATATGCCTTTCACCTTCTACCTTGCGGCATGATCAACAAGGTGCCCGAAGTTGATCAAACAGGGAACTGTTATGCATGCTTTATTTGGATCAATGTGCTGCAACGTGTGTGCATGCGTGTCTGTGCCGCAGGCATGCAAGAATTTGATTGGGAACGGCGCTGACCTAAGATGTGTGTGTGTGTGTGAGCGCTCATGTATGGGTTGTGGGTTGTGGCTCTGCATTTGCCATTCTCCGCATGTGTCAGGTGTTGTGGTGCACGTCCCAACTCTCATGAGGGAGCTCCAGGCATTTGCACGGAACCGTTCAACAGCTTGCATAATTCTGGGCTGGCAAATTTGATGGACACGTGCAGGAGCTGAAGGAATTTGACCCTCGAGCGCTTGAGCGGGTTTTCATTTCCACACGTCCTGGGCTTAGCGCAGCCTTGGGGATTAGCTATCCCCGAAGAAGCCTTCTAGTAACAATTGAGGTGCCCACATCCTGTTCGACAGCCATCAGGCTTTCGGTTGCCTTCCAATGGTCAAAATCTCGCTGTCATGCCTGGCAGATCATTGACGGAATCCTGGAGGCTGAACAGGCCTGAAAATCGCGCTTAGACAACACTCTTTGTCTCTGACCACTTCGACTTGTTGCACTTGATTCAGGCAGCGAATTGTTCTCCACTGGTTTACTGCTGTTGTCCTGCCAGGGCACAAACTCCATTGGCACGACGAAGCGCGGGATTGGCCCTTGCTACTCTGCCAAGGCCATCCGTGCCCTACTTAGCGTCAGAAAGCCCTCTGACATGCTCTGCCAATAATTGGAGTTGTAAGCATCGTTTGAGACTGAGGCAACGGCCTGCGATTTGGAGATCTCTTGCACTTCGAGGAGATTCCGATCTCTTGCAGTCTTGACAGTCTTATTACGCTTACAGCTGTTGAACCGTGCGTGGGGCTTCTATACGAGGAGTTCGAGCGGCGTCTGCGTGAGCTGATCGCATGGTCGCAGAGACCTTGTTGCAAGCAGTCCGGAGTCCGAAGTGCGTTTCAGTGGGCCTGGGAGAAAGGGGCTGCTTTGTTGTGCTGCACCTCAGAGTCACGCAAAGGAAGCGCTTCGGCGACCCTCGTGAGCGGGACAGAGTCATTGTTGCTTCGCACTGCATGGCATGGACCTGAATGTAGATTTTGCAACCGCCTGGTATTCCAGAATGGATGCTCATTGGCAGGACACGCCCGCCCAGCAGGAGCTACGCAAAGTGCCATGGCTAACCTCTGCTTCAGTGTTGGCCTTCTTGTTTGTATCAGGATTTTGCCAGTTAGTTCCAAGTGGGACCATGTGTACCTATCCCCTCTGAAGGAAGCAATTGCTGCCCATGCTGTTATTCCTTGAATTTCTTTGGATAGTTGCACTCCACTGAGGCCCTACGAGAGTACAACACGAAGCATGCCTTTGACCCGGCAGAAGGCAAAAAAGGGGGTGTGTCCAACGTCGAAGAGGAGATCAGCATGATCGCAGCCGTGTTGCCACGGATGGGGTTGCAATACCCAGTTAAATTGAGCCCAGCCAGGAGATTGCTCGATATCGGCAGTTTGCGGAACTCCTCCGGCCTCAGATCGTGGACAGCGTCACCCTCATCCATGAGGACTGGCAGGGTGTTGCAGTGTTGCAGCTTGTGGCATCGGACTCCAGTGTTCAAGAAAGACTCAGGATATCTCTCGTGGCTACAAGGCGCCTTCGAAGCAGCAGCAATGATATGTGGAGGAAGCTCGCCTTTTTCCTGCTTCATTCTTGAGGTCCTCGTCGAGGGAGCAAACGCTGCACTGCTTGACATTGACTTCGGCACCTACCCATTTGCCACATGCCTAGTTCAGTGAGATTCAATGGTCAATGCTGGCGGAATTCACAAGTTCAGCAGCGTGCCATCAGTTCAAGCTTCCAAGTTGTGGCATTGGCTGTCTTCTCGTGCAACACTGTCCACATGATGTGGGAATGTCGAAGGTCACATCATCCAACACCACCGTGGGTAGCGTTTGCACAGGTGCACGCAGTCAGCTTTACGTCCACTGATACAGAGAGTTCAGTAGATACTTTGGCAGGGCTGGGGGTGCCACCCAAACAAATCGACACCGTGATCGGGGTGGTGAAGGTGCTGTGATGGAATAGTTAGTTAAATTCCCATTAGCAGGTGCGCGGACCCTGAGTTGAATCCTTCTCGCGTCAGGCCTACACCACACGAGTTGGCCATGGGCCTTTCCCAACGGTGGCTCGGATCATCAAAGACTGGGGTTCGCAGCAACTTCCTGTGCGGATTGCAAAGACAAGGAGCTCCAGAATGAAGCGCAGAATTTAGATGACCACCTCGAGACCTACATTGGCCCTGCCCAGTCCATGGCGCGCCAGGCTGCATGGTCAGGGATCCATGGAATCAGGGAAAAACTGAGCTACTTTGATCTTGGCTTTAAACATGCTGGAGCCTGCGAGGGTCACAGCTCTGGCCCATACGAGCTGAAACCTGGTCAACAGGCGCCGGATGAAGCCAGTCTGTGATGCAAGAGATTGGCGATACACCTGGCACGTAGATTCAAGTCATTTTTCCAATATAATGAGAATCGGAAGCGCAGTCAGTTGCATGCAGCCGACCAGGACCTTAAATACCTTCAGCAGTCCCAGAAGCGTCACCAAGCACGCTTTCTGTCCGATCAACTAGCTGGAGTCGTTGTAGTGCAGACCGTCCTCCCCCGCGACCCCCCGCGCCATGAATTTTAGATGGGATTTATGTCTTCATATCCATTTAGTGCGAGCCTGGGGAGGCCCCAACCCCTCACCACCCCTCTTCACCCCTCAGCGCCCGTCGACACCCCTCCCCCCCACTATGGATTTTAGATGGGATTTCTGTATTCAAATGTAAGCCCAACTGTTTTACGCCAATGGCCCCTCGGTGTGCGACGCATGCTGCGTTCACACCGTAGGCAAGCCAGGGAGTGCAACTAGGTATTTAATATACCTAGCACCACTCTCTCTGTATATGAGGGTTGGTTTACAGGTCCTGGTAAGAAAATACATTGAATGGACCACCAGCACAGCAAGATATGTCTTCGCGAAAGGAAATGTCTTTATCGCGAAAGTGTTTTCGAGATCTGACTTGCGTGCATATCCTATACTGGGGGAATATTAGGGTTATATTGGGGTTACTGGAAAAGAAAATGGAAACTGCCATAGTATATTGGGGTTATATAGATCTATAGAGGTTATATTGGGGGCTATGTTGGGATAATGGAAAAGAAACTGGAAACTACTATAATTCAGGCCTCTCAGCTCTGCTAGGCTATGGCTCTGAAGGCTCTCAGAGCCAGGGAATTCTCTTCTCGTTTGGAAGAAGAGCATTGCTTCATGGACCTGTTCTGTTTCACTCGCGTCCTTTTATCTTAGACTCTTTTGAAATCCTAGAAATTTACCCTCAGTAGCCATTCTTAGCCTGGAAAACATGGTATCAATCGGGACTTGCAACGTAAGCTTGCGGGAAAGCTCCGCGAAAGTTCTGTGCAAGTAGAGGTTGGGTTGCAATTTGTGGGCGAGAGCTCATAGTAGATATGGTCACGCCCCGACAGGCGCCCCCCCTCCCTCGCCCAACGGTATGGTGGCTGTATTCTCAGCTCTGCATCAGGATTCAAGTGTAATCCCCCCACCCCCACCGTGGTCCTGTGGCCTACGGTCTGGGTCTTGCGGGTAAAGTTAAGGTTTGGAGAGATTTGCACCCCCCCCAAGCGGCATGGTGGCTATCTTCTAAGCTATAAATCATTTGAGTATAACCCCCACCCCCCCCTGTGGTCCTGTGGCCTGTGATCCGGGTCTTGTGGGTTGAATAATATTTTCAGAGGTTTGGTATAAATTTTAGAACCTATTACTCCCACTCCCTCCTGTGGCTTATGTTTTGCGAGTTGTTGTTTACATTATAGGTCCGGGGATGTAGTGGATTTATAGTGATAGTGTTTATAGAAGGTTTATAAATGGTGCACAGGAGATTGCAAGAAGGTTTACTGAGAGTTCATGGTTCTATAGAAGATCTATACAAGACCAGGGCCACCCGATCCCTGTGACTGTTTGTACTTTCGAAGCACGACAAAAACGTAAGGGGCCCAACGTGACGACGGTTCCGAGGGTCGCGATGAGGACCGCCCCGATCCCTGTGACTGTTGGTACTTCCTGAAACACGATGACAGCTGAGGGGCCAAGAGTGACGACAGTTACGAGGATGGAGGCTATGAGACCCCAAAAAGACGACGATGCGACCCCGAGAGGCCCAATCCCTGCAAAGGATGGGAACGCACCACATATGAGTGCGCTCTAGTTAGGATGGTGAGCCCAATCGGGTTCTTCTAAGCGCTCTGGGCCTGAAGATGTGGCCTTCCGAGCCTCCGAGCTTGCCTTCAGCATATGCAAGTCTGGGCTTACAGATGTTGGCCTTGAGGCTCTGGTGTGCGGGTGCGGATGCTTTGGGTGCAAGTATGCACGGAAGGATTTTGCGAAGTCAGTGGCTTTCCGAGCGGAGTTTCAGTCTGTCTGCTAAAGGAGCTAGCTATCAGAAATATGCGCAGAATGGGTCCGCAAAAGTTTCGCAAAAGTAACTTTTCTTGCGAAGACGGCCATTTTGGGATGAAGGGATTCAGATCAGCCAGCGCCCACATGAATAAATGAACATGCATGTTTATGGTTATGAGTATCTGTAGGATCTTCAACGCATCAGAACGCTGATGCATGTCGCACTTTGCTCTGGCAGGTACGGGTGGGGGAAATGCTCCAAGAAGTGGGCCATGAATATGGCACCACCACTGGCCGCCGACGCCGCTGCGGCTGGCTGGATCTGGCACTGGTGAAGTACAGCGCCATGGTGATGCTGGGGATGAAATTATGAGACAGACGACATGCTGGGACTTGACAGGCCCCAAGCAAGTCCCAAACCCAAAGGAGAGAGTAAAAGGTCTTGCAGCAGCCACGCCTGATGGGCCAGGCTCGCTCCGTTACTGGACAGACGCAGTCCAAACAAAAGAGTCTATCATAGTTTCTCCGCCACTCCTGACCAAGCACTTTCACACTCTGGTGCGAGGGCTGTACCAAAAGCAGCAACGCTGATGTTACAAACTTGTAAGGTCCGGGTTGGTGTATGAAACTATTCTACGAGTGCCGTGCATGGCGCTTTGCAGCTTGCCACCTCAATGACCCCAGAAAACGTGTAGAGCAGCATGATGCATTGTGAGTGATGGTTAAGCTGCAAGATGACACTCAAGAAAGTTCGGATCTCAGTGCTTGACGAAGGGCATTCGACCCGAACTTGAACAAAGTAGTCTGGAGGCTAGTAGACTTTGCTCAGATAACAAACTGAGCCGCTCAAGCCTTTGAATATCCAGCACCTCGAAGCCACTCCTTGGGTTGCACAGAAACGACTGAGTGACAGGCTGAACCCAAGAACCATGCCTGACTGCAAGGAATGGCTTTGACAGCATCAATCTGACCAAGCTGGATGTGCCACGCCCAGCTAGAGGAGGTAGCAGTAGCAATGCTGGCAACGTCTTTATGTGCAGTCTTCTGAGCCCTCAGCAAGTACATGTAGCTCTATTCTGCCCTTTCATCCTCAGGTCCTGACTGGCGTCAAGCAGATCAGAATTGCAATAGCATACCGCAACAAGCAAATGACGGAGGCCGGTTTGAAGTTTCATCCTTTATGTCACTGGAGTCGGTCCTTGATAGAATCTTGGCTTGGGGGGCGCGCTCCCTGGCGCATGCTGGCGCGTTCGAGCAGGTTCGCTTGCCACCTGGATACTTCCCTTCGCACCTGGAGGATTTGAAAGAGGTCGTTTGCTGCTCGTCATAGTTTTGAAATTTTGCATGAAGTGGAAATCGGCCCACACTGGCAGAGTCTACTGCAAAGCTGAGGCGAGTATGAAACAATGCAAGGCTGGTCTGAGGACATTTCCAAGGTCACCGATTTCGCCGACCTGCCCAGTAACGCAAAGAAATACGTTTTGAGGACACTGGGGGCAGTCATTCGAGCCAAGCTGTAGGCAAGATGATGCCCCATGCCTGTTCACCAGGATCCAAGAGCTTTTGGGTATTCCCGTCTCCTGGGTTGGTGCCCCTTGACTTGAAATACCAAACTGCATCCTATTGTGACTCGAATCGGATGTTTCCAGTAGACGTCACGCATGTTTGTTCCAGCGGGGCTTCAAGTCACAGCTCCGTGGGCTAGAGTAGCATGCCAGGAAGCTGAAGCTCTCATCTGCACCAAAGAAGTTGCGTGCGGATTCCTGAGGTTGGCCCAGACCGCTCCAGCATGCTCAAGGCGACAACATGTGACACAGAAGCCCTGAAAACATATCCGGCTTTGATTGATGTACCATCATCTGCCTTTTTGCGCTATATGTGAACCCCTTGCTTTAGGTGGACATCCCCATCGTTCGGCCAGATGGATCAATCTCAGAGCCTTGGAATTCACTAGACCAGTGGCATTTCACTTCTCAGACATGATGTGGACTAGTTGAGCCCTGAGCAAGGCATCCCCGAATTTCCCATCCAGCCCGATCCGTTGCTTGGGCTGGCATTAGGTTCTTGCGTGCGGCAAACAGGTCCAGTATCCAGTACCATTGGTACAGGTTAGTGTGACCTCGGATCTTAGGTGGGAGCCCCCGCATCTGAGCGGGTCTTTTCCTGCCCACTTGTGGCACGCGGATGGCAATTACTAAGTCTGAACTCTAGACCGACTTGTAAACAAGTTTGGTGGGTTGCAGCTCAACTGCTGGAACAGCTTGAGCCGTGGACTCAAAGCAACACGCGATGTGTTTATGAAGCCCACCTAAATGCCAGGTGGGCGTCTGCAATTGTATTCAGCTAGCTTTAGGACAGAATCCGGATGGCGCCTGCTCGTCACGCATTCTCTATGGGCGGGTGTGAGCGTGTACCCGGTATACTCCCTACCACCGCGACCCACGATGCGGATTTCTCTCGGCATGTGCGCAAAATGCCAAGAGCACGGGATGGGAAAGCACAGCCTGTAAACTGCCCGGTCCTAAGTGCGGGCAGTGTGCGGGCGCTAGTATCTCTTCTGTGCAGGCCTTCCTGCGGTTAGTTGCGCGGGAGCTAGCGGAGGTACAACAGGAGGGCCTGCGAGGCTCACTCTCAGCTATCAGCCTGAAGTGTAGCCTATGGCAGTTTTGGCATGGATTCCGGTGCTGTCAGGGGCATTTCTCCGATTGGATTGTGATGGTGATGGTGCCCTCAGCGCAGCAGATCTAGCTGCGGGCCTTGAATCCACAGGCAACACATGCTGCCTGTTAGTACATGCTCCTCGGCGAAAGCATCTTCTTGCAGCATGTTGCAGCATTGCCACGTGCAGACACGAGCAGCAGCCACCAATCCATCCTCTCTATGCTGGGATTCCAAGCACGGGTCTGAGCTTTGCTGAGCCTGCGATAGATTCTTGACAGTTGTGTTGGAAGTCTGCTCCAGACTACCAACGACAATGGCCAAATGGAGGAAATCAGGCGAACGCTATCTCCAGTACATGTAGGATGGGGCGTGACGTGCCTGCGGAGGTCCTTGGTTGCCACGGCCGGCACTGCTGGAGAGAATATGGGTTTCAGTGACTTTCTGGCTGTGATGTTGCAAGGAGCTCAGACTCAGATGCAGGCAAACTCTTGAAATGCCCTAGATGCGCTTGCTGGTGTCGTTCAGGCCGTACCATGTTGCAGTCCAGGACTGCACGCGTCACAGCCACACGCCGAACCATGACACTGCTTACTTCTGACCATTGGCAGGAGCCGCAGCTTCGGAGTGCTTTCGGGCGCTTGGACAGCGCAAAAACTGGGCGGTTGCCAAAGTCCACCCTGCAGGGCGCGCTGCAGGCAATGCTGGTGGGAAGCAGACATGACAGCCACAGCAGTGCATTTGGACACCGCAAATTTGGCAGGACTGTGTACTGTAGCATGATCTACAAGACATGTCTCGCTGCAAGTGTCGTGAAGCAGTGAAGCATCTAAGCTCTTTAGCTCTGGGGCCGGATTAGCTGATTAGCTTTTGCCACGGGGCATTTGAGAAGCTGTCTGCTTACAGACACAGGTGGGGCAAGCTGCCGGCTTCCCAGTTTGACAAAAAAAACGGTGTTCTTTTCTATTTCTGGGGATATCTTGCGGCATCCAGTACAAGGGGATGCCGGGTTTCCCGAAATGCCCACACGAGGGCAGGAGAGCAGCTTGAGCGTTTAAGCGGGTCCCTCAGGTCCCCCAAGAAGAGGTGGCAGCCTTCAATGCTGGACTTCCGCAGGATGCTGTGTGTTGCAACATTCCATACGTTGCCAATCTCTTGCTCTTCAAGGCAATAGCTCCCGCACGAATGCCTTCCGGGAAAAGCATCTGTTACTTGCCAGATCTTGCCAGGACTTGAGCTATGCGGAGTTCCGTCAGCTGGTGGGTCTTCATCCTTAGTTGAACGTCCCGCGCTCTGCTGGCGCATGAATCGATTCTTACGAACCTGCGGATTGGAAAGAGCTGACCGTTCATGCTGATTTGTAGATGCAAGCAAGCCTGCCTTTGAAGAGAACTCCCGACCGAAGACATGCTGATTGGATGGGCAGCGACGCACTATGCGATTGCCTGCTACTGTAGCATTTTTACCGCTCAGCGCAGGTACCTCAAACACCTGGAAGAGACAAGCAGCGTACTGCCGGCTTGTTCATCCGACCCCTGCCTCCGCTCGTATACAAGTTCAGGTGTCGCTGAGTTATGGATTCCTCTTCAGGCGTATCCGCGACGTCAGGATGCAAAATTGTTGGAGGCACTGTCTGCAGCCTTGCCTTGCGGATGATTGCGACGTTGCCTATGCCAGGTACACGAGCAATTCGCTGATGCGGCGCTTTGATGAAACCTCATGTGCGCAACAGGTGCAAACTGCCTGCATCAGGCCAAAATGGGATGGTGTGCGGCTTCTTGTTCGCCTTCGCCGATTGTCAAAACACGGCTTGGTACATGCTTGCTTTCAGATACTTAGAGCAGGACATTATGACAAATGTCCGAAAGGCCCAAAATTCATGAACCTTTTTCAAAGAAAGAGTTGGCATTGGAGTTTCAAAGTGCAGTATGCTTGTCCGCCCTGGCCATGAGCATAGTCCACGCCTCAAACATGGTGGGTCAGGAGAGGTCCTAGACATGCCCCAGAGCTGCCCAGGCCTCCAGAATTGCACCTGCCCAGCACCCTCCAAGACGTGTCTCTTCCACAGCTGCAACCCGCGCCTCAACAGCAAAACCACACATCCACCGCTCCAACATTAAAAAACACGCCCCCGCCCCCAGCCCGCGCCGCCCCGCCCAAACAGCAAACCAGTACACGCCCTCGCCCCAATAGCAAAAAAAAATCAGTGCACCCCGCCCAAACAGCAAAAACAACATGCCCCCACCCCCCGTCAGCCCGCCCGAACAGCAAAAAAAGCAGGCACCCTGCCCTCGGCCCTAGCAGCAAAACAAACACGCCCCCCTCACACCAATGCAAGTTTGAGTGCATTATTGCAAGGAATACGTGCCCCATGGTGTTCGCACACCAGCATCACTGGGGGCCTACAAATGTTTCGCTGGAAAACAATCATCCACAGCCGTCGCTGGGAGGCACTTTCTCAGGAACACCTGTGAATTGTGAAAGTTGCGCATGCCTAGTTATGTTTTCAAATCGAAGTTTGATGTTCGGATTCTTCGTCCAAGTCAATATTACGGGAAAGATATCCGCGAGATGGCCGTGTTTCTTTTGGAATACACGTTTCGTCATGTCTGCGTGTAATGTTAGACCGATACCGCGGCAAAAACATCCCTGAAATGGCTCGTCCAAAGCAATGGTGCCCTTATGGCTTGCACAAGATGAGGAACTGGATGAGGAAGAGGATGACTTTGACAATGTGAGCTAAGATGTGGTAAGATTTGCACCTGGTCGAATGTATTAAGCAGGTCGGATGAGTTGGAGCTGGCGTGGGCTGAGGCTTGCGTCTGTTTGCCGTAACACTTCAGAACGAGCTTGTCCTGCAGGAGCAGAGAAACAGCTTCTCACCTTGGCTTTTTCCAAAGTTGGCAAATTGCAAGGCTTCAATGGCAACTTGGCGTAGACAAGCAGAGTGATGTGCTGTTTCCTGGGTCCCATGAATTGTGGCTGTGCTGAGGTTATTTTTTTGCAGCCATTTTACCCCGCAGCCTCAAGAGATCGAGTTCCAGCTTGTGAACTGAAAAGGCGCGGAGCAGCGTGCTGATGCCCACTCCTGCCAAGGATGCAGACCTGCTTTCTACGGTGGATGCTGCCAGGCTGCCAGATATGCATCCAGTCCGCAGAGCTGAAAACAAGGTATGTAAGCTTACTGCACACGCTGTGTGCACAGCTGTGTGTTTCAGTCTTCGCTCGGCTTGCCATTCATGCGTGCACTCCATCGCAAGCAGGATCACAAGAAAGGTGGAAAGCTTCACGCGTGACCGAAATACTTGCTGCGCGCCTGGCCATGATGGTCGGCCATGGCTGCAAGAAAGCTGCTAAGAAGATCAGCTGCATGGCTGTCACGGAGTCACAGTCACGTTAGGTCCTCCCCCTCACTTTAGGACGATGTGCTTGCGCCACTGATATTGCGATGAGTTTTGTCACGTCAGAAAGACACCTGTCACTTGGTCATTTGCAGAGAAAGCAGTGATGAGGCTTTTCGCGGCTAGATGCAGACAGTCGGCTGCTCAGGATGAGTGGAATTGCTGGTTTAGGGTACGTGTTGAAGGTGAGGGGCCGTGCTGGGCTTTGCCCGCGACATGAAGTCAGCACCCTTCTCGAAAGCGTCGATTCCAATAGATCCTTGCTGCAAGTGACGACACACGAGGGAGGCTGAATGGATGCGCTCTGCTAAGGGCTGCAAAGCCTTCAGATCACTAAGTGATTTTCAGCTTTGCTCTGTATCAAGTAAAGAAATATCGCCTGTTGAGTTTTTTTGCAGCCTCGCTCTGTACAAACAAGTCTTGAGTTGTAAAAGTGCCACTGCTAAAGGGTCTGCCCGAACTTGTTGTTTGTTTGCATCACCTACTTTCTGTTGCGTTTTGGTGCTGTAGCCAAGTTCAAGTGGCTTGATCCCAAGCGTGCTTGTGTTTGAGACTCGTGCGCGACACGATGGAGGCAGGGCTTGTGATCAGTAGGTCACTAGAACATTATTGCTTGCGTGCCCCAGCCCAATCTTCAGTCGTAGGCATTCCTGTGAGCTGGATATCCCAAGGCTGCAATCTTAGCCCAAGTTGGCATCAGCAAGGCACAGGGATGCCACAGTCTAGCTAGCCATGTGTTTGTTGGATGTATGCATGAAGGACCTGCAACAGCGTGCGCGTGGCGTCGAGCAGCTGCGCCTGAGAAGCATTCACGAATTCAGGTGCTGATTGTTGACATGCCAGCCCCAAGGTTGTCAGACATCGAAGGCCACAGCCTGAGCGATGCTTGCAGCCCTCTGTTGGCTCGAAAAGAAGCTCTCCATCAAAGCTGGGCGCATCCTCCAGTGCCCACGCCTTCTTGACTCTCGGATCCACTGCACGTACGACATTTGATCATTAGAGGTGGATCATCGTGCACACTCTTTCCGATCAACCCCCTGATCGATTGGTAAGATCCACTTGGCTCTTTGGAAAACGCAACAAGCGCTACTTTGAGCTTCAGCTCCTTCACTCACAACTTGCCTCGTACCGTCCATTTCGCAGCTCCCGTCCCACGAGTTGAGGTTCCACGTTGGATGCAGATGAATTGGAGAATCACGAGATTCTTGTCTGCAGCAGAATGGTCGAGAACGGTTCCAGCTGCTGTTGCCATGTGAAGAACAAGACAAGATTTCACGATGCCTCTCTGAACTGCCTGAGTCAACGTCCAACATGCATCCAGCTGCCTTCGGCGTGTGAAGCGTTGCGCAGATGCATCTCACTCAAGTTCACCATGTAGAATGGCTGAAGTAGCTTGCGGCTCAGGTTCATGGTCGAGGTCAACTCCTCATTGCAGGCTGGGTCTACTGCTATGTCCTTGAGGCTCTGGTGTGGCGTTTGCTACATAAACTGGAACTTGCTTCTGTGATGCGGCCAGCAGTACTGGGGCAAAGATCGAGAAGGCCTAGTCTTGCCACTTGGATGGCTTTTGTGGATTCTGGGGCGTAATAGGGGCAGAAACTGAAGTCTTTGCGTAAAGTGCCAGAAACAAAGCTTGGGGGCCGACTACCAAACGTTGAAGAAATCAGAAGCCGCTGTATTTTCGGAAGGGCCAAAAGTTTCTCCGGAACAAGCTTCAGGGGTTAGTTAATAAAAATCAAACAAAAAAAGATTTAGGAAAATTTGATATTAGATCTCCCCCGTTGGTAACAGAAATACAAAACGATCGATTGAGAAACCGAATATCATATCCAACAGAATGAAGATAATAACGTCAGAATGATAAATTTGACGTCAGAACCGTTTTTTAAAAGATTAAAATCAAAATATTATTAGATAGAAGATCTAGAGATCGAGAAGAAATTTAAAATCGGAAATATAAAGAAAATATAGAATCGATAGATATAACGATAGAATTATCGTTAGGATGATAAATTCTTATATGAATGAATCGGGAGTGTCGCGTAATTTTTTTTAGGGTCATTATTGCAAAGGCATCGCGCGGGGTCTCTTAGGGATTTAAAATCTTGGAATTTCTAGAATGTTTCAGAAAAAATTAGAGGTCTTAGGGTCTTCAAAAATTTTGAAGAGAATTTTCTATGTGATTTATCTCTTTTTGATTATTTTCGCGATTGATCGAGGGAATATATAAAATTAAGCTAGAATTTCGAAATATTTCAGAATTTATGGGTTGTATGGAATTATTATTCTCGTATTATGATGAAATGTTGCATAGATAATTGAGAAGGGAGAAAGATGAGGTAGGAATGAATGAAATATTTTTCGAGAAAAATTAATATATGCGTCCGGGCCTAGTATAGTCGGGGGTAAGGTCCCCAAAAAATTGAATTTTTCGTTTTTCTGGGAAGCAAACTTAATTTATTGGCATGAAATTCTTTCTTTCTTTTTTATTCTTGATGCGGTTAATTTCTTTATTATTTTTATACGTGATTATTTATTTAGATTGAATTTATTATTCAAATTTTATAGAAGTTATTTATCGATTATATTTATTGAATAGAAAGATCGATAATCTCGGATATAATCTCAAATATATTTTGAGTTTTCATTTTGAACTATATTCTACGTGATTTCATTATTTTATATTTCGTATATATATTAATTTTTTAAAGAATTTATGGGATGAGCATACATATATAGGGCAATTTATACGGAATCGTAAAATATCGCGCAGAGAGCCGAAGAGAGATAAATGAGATAGAAAGATCTGGTTGGATGTAGGGATCCCATTAAAAATCTTCTGAGGTTTGGATTTATTTCTCCCTTTGATTATTTAT